AAAAAACTTTTTTTTTGGTCTTTGAATGAATGTTTCACCTCACTAGAATGAATTGTTGGCCACGAAACTTTCAGGGTTGATTCAATGCATCATACAAGATAACTTTTGTCTCAAAGTTTGCCTTGCCATATTCAAAAAAACTTGCCAATTATGGAGAATGCCTTTTAGGAAAAAAGTAGATTTATTCAAAAGATTGAGAAAATTTATACTTTTAGGTTAAAGAAAAAGAATGAAAATGGAGAATGAGAATAGAAATGAGTTTATTGTGAAATATTGTGATACACAAGAATACTTTTTGATGCAGTCGTCGTGTTTCCACATATGGCACTGAGTATTTACAGTGAAGCTATGCGTTCCGCTATAAGGAATAGAAGGATATGTCGAGCTAAATGAATTTTCGTAAAACGAGCAACTTAAAACAGATATTTTATTATTTGCGAAAATTTGTGCAGAATTTTGAGCAAAAACGCAATGATCTATAACAAAAATTGATGCATGTACAGCCAAAAGGCATTCTGTCTTCTCATTAACTTTATTATTATAAAAATTCGAATGTTTTAAAATACAATTAGAGTCAGAGTAGACAAGAGAACTATATGTAGCAGTTCCTGATAATACATTGATAAACGATGCATTTGCTTGGCCAACAGAATTTCCAAAGTAAAATGCTGTAGAAAAACTTGCATAATTGTTTGTGGAATTATAATTTGAAAGAGATGTTTTCCCGCCTCCAATCCAAAATATGTCAGACACAGGGTCAGGTGTACAATCAGTTATCGATATCATAAAATTGTAATCCACGTTTTCTAAGGCTTGAGATATTTTAACATAGCTAAATTTGGCTTTTGTACTTGAATAAACTTTATGAGCGCAAGTATCTCTTTGATAAATTGAGTGACAGGACTAAAAAATTACGCAGCCACCGTTCTGATTGGATGTGATAGTATTAAATGTGTCATGTTCGAGGATTAAAATAGAATTTTCGGAATTGATGCGAATAACACCTTCGTTCGTGATGCTTTGGAAGAGACTTCCACTGATATGATTGACGAATGGATTTGTCGATGATGGTATTGATTTCCAATATGATTCGCCTTGTAGGAATTCTTCTGTTGATAAATCAGACAATTCATTGAATCACCTTAGAAAAAATTGAAAACGAATTTTCAATCAATTGAAAATTCAAAATAGTTATCCAAAATTTTGTAGATCATTTTCAAATCCTTTCTTTCGAGTTGAGAAATAATCATTTTATATGGTATACTCTACGTGAATGCATTTAACATAAGAAAACTATGAAAAAGGGAATTTTGAATGTAACCTGGGAAAGTTTGAGAGCAAAGATTGCATGCATAGTACCATAAATCATCCCTGCAAGTTTCGCACCCATTGATCTAGGCAATGGTTCAAAATTGAGAATGCATACTATGCCCATTCTTCAACAAAAAAAACTTTTTTTTGGTCTTTGAATGAATGTTTCACCTCACTAGAATGAATTGTTGGCCACGAAACTTTCAGGGTTGATTCAATGCATCATACAAGATAACTTTTGTCTCAAAGTTTGCCTTGCCATATTCAAAAAAACTTGCCAATTATGGAGAATGCCTTTTAGGAAAAAAGTAGATTTATTCAAAAGATTGAGAAAATTTATACTTTTAGGTTAAAGAAAAAGAATGAAAATGGAGAATGAGAATAGAAATGAGTTTATTGTGAAATATTGTGATACACAAGAATACTTTTTGATGCAGTCGTCGTGTTTCCACATATGGCACTGAGTATTTACAGTGAAGCTATGCGTTCCGCTATAAGGAATAGAAGGATATGTCGAGCTAAATGAATTTTCGTAAAACGAGCAACTTAAAACAGATATTTTATTATTTGCGAAAATTTGTGCAGAATTTTGAGCAAAAAACGCAATGATCTATAACAAAAATTGATGCATGTACAGCCAAAAGGCATTCTGTCTTCTCATTAACTTTATTATTATAAAAATTCGAATGTTTTAAAATACAATTAGAGTCAGAGTAGACAAGAGAACTATATGTAGCAGTTCCTGATAATACATTGATAAACGATGCATTTGCTTGGCCAACAGAATTTCCAAAGTAAAATGCTGTAGAAAAACTTGCATAATTGTTTGTGGAATTATAATTTGAAAGAGATGTTTTCCCGCCTCCAATCCAAAATATGTCAGACACAGGGTCAGGTGTACAATCAGTTATCGATATCATAAAATTGTAATCCACGTTTTCTAAAGCTTGAGATATTTTAACATAGCTAAATTTGGCTTTTGTACTTGAATAAACTTTATGAGCGCAAGTATCTCTTTGATAAATTGAGTGACCAGGACTAAAAAATACGCAGCCACCGTTCTGATTGGATGTGATAGTATTAAATGTGTCATGTTCGAGGATTAAAATAGAATTTTCGGAATTGATGCGAATAACACCTTCGTTCGTGATGCTTTGGAAGAGACTTCCACTGATATGATTGACGAATGGATTTGTCGATGATGGTATTGATTTCCAATATGATTCGCCTTGTAGGAATTCTTCTGTTGATAAATCAGACAATTCATTGAATCACCTTAGAAAAAATTGAAAACGAATTTTCAATCAATTGAAAATTCAAAATAGTTATCCAAAATTTTGTAAGATCATTTTCAAAATCCTTTCTTTCGAGTTGAGAAATAATCATTTTATATGGTATACTCTACGTGAATGCATTTAACATAAGAAAACTATGAAAAAGGGAATTTTGAATGTAACCTGGGAAAGTTTGAGAGCAAAGATTGCATGCATAGTACCATAAATCATCCCTGCAAGTTTCGCACCCATTGATCTAGGCAATGGTTCAAATTGAGAATGCATACTATGCCCATTCTTCAACAAAAAAAACTTTTTTTTGGTCTTTGAATGAATGTTTCACCTCACTAGAATGAATTGTTGGCCACGAAACTTTCAGGGTTGATTCAATGCATCATACAAGATAACTTTTGTCTCAAAGTTTGCCTTGCCATATTCAAAAAAACTTGCCAATTATGGAGAATGCCTTTTAGGAAAAAAGTAGATTTATTCAAAAGATTGAGAAAATTTATACTTTTAGGTTAAAGAAAAAGAATGAAAATGGAGAATGAGAATAGAAATGAGTTTATTGTGAAATATTGTGATACACAAGAATACTTTTTGATGCAGTCGTCGTGTTTCCACATATGGCACTGAGTATTTACAGTGAAGCTATGCGTTCCGCTATAAGGAATAGAAGGATATGTCGAGCTAAATGAATTTTCGTAAAACGAGCAACTTAGAGAACATGTGACGACCTTGGACTTTGTAAACACAAACCTTGTAGAAGACAACTTGGTGTTGTTTTTCGCCCAATACCGTAGAGGTCAATGTGTACTCACCGCGGAGAACTGTTTGGGATTTGAGATGCGGAGACTTGGAGAGGTGGACTTGGGCAAGCTGGGCAGAGGTTGGCAGCAACATTGGCCGTCATGGTGTCATGACTTAGCGACGAAGAAACCACCAGTGATAGCCTTGTTGGTTGAACGATTGTTGTGTAGTCGATTGTTGATTAGCATACAGATAGTCTGGACATCTTGTGTCGAAAACGATTTGGCTTCGATTTCGACTCCTGTGTGAGGCTTCTTTTCGTTGAACTCGAGTTGGAAGGATACTCTTACCCTTGGCGGACCAACGATTTCAGCTGTGATTGCACTTGGAACGGAAGCATCGATTGTGAAACTCGACACTCTCGAGGCCCGTTCTGGTCCATGTAGCTGTCTGCTCGGCAACAACGCGGTCGCCCGTCTTGAGGAGGATAACTGGGAATGCTAAGCCTGGGAAATAATTGGTCTTTCCGACGGTTTCTTTCTCCTTGACAACTAACCAGCCCTTGATTGTCTGGCCGTATGTCAACTTCTGTGGCTTCTCGAGACCCTTGACGCTGTCAGCGATTGATCTCTGAGGGTCAATGTGACAGCGCATTGGCTGCCGGTACAGTGAGAAGGTGAAACTGTGAATCCCTCTGAGTTCTTTGATAGACGAACTCGATTGTTGAAGCCTGTAGCGAGACGATGTTCTCGTCAACTGTTGTTTTCGAACCGACTGTGATGTGTGTTTCGACAACCTTGATTTCGCATCAACTGTCTTAGCCCAATTAGCGTTGCCGCACTTGAGAACCATCTTGGTACTTCTGTGACCTTCGGCTGGGCCACTATGAAGAATGCCTTCTTGGAAGTCATCCTTGAGATCTTCGCCGAATGACTTCTCATCGTTTGAACTGTTTCGACAGCACCATCAACGATGACGGCCTGGAACCATGGAGACCTTTTTGAGAAGTTTCGCCAAGCTTTGGTGTGGAGTTGATCTTGTGGAGATAAAACTGTCATGTTGGCGTGGTAAGAGGTAGCGGAACTCTTTGCGTGTGGGGATGTCGTGCTGGCGGTCACCAATTTCGAAGTAGAACTTGGACGTTAAGCCGTCTGGAATTGGGTTCTTTGGATCGGAATTATCCCACTGAATGTGTGGCGAGCTTTTGAAGTCAGCAGAGTCGTAGAAGAAGGCAGGCTTTCGGATGAATCGTAGACAGAGAAATGGGCCATTGTAGCTTCTTCAACTTCCGAGTTGCGCCGTTCTTCGAAATCTGCCGTGGAGACAGATTGACAGCAGACCTGGTTCGATGATGCCACCAACTGGATGATTTCTTCAGCGCTGGCTGGACAGTCGCTACGAGAAAATCGACTGGGAATGGGAGACTGGATGTACTGGGATTGTTTCTTTGTAATCATCAACCTGGATGGCCCCCTTCATCGGAGTTGGAAAGCCAGGTCTGGTATTAATCGAAGTAAGTTGGACCATAGCTTTGTAAAAGCCCGTGTTGGGTATCGGTTCACCCATCCAAAACCCGTTACGTTCATCGATAGTCAAGCTTTGGTCAATCTGACTTCTCTGCACCAATTGTTGATTGTAAGGTTGAAGTGGCAAGATATGCGATGTTGACGAAGCGTTAAAGGATAACGGGCAACAGCAGCTGGGCGAACAAACCTGACCAAGTGATAAGACCACCGCGGCGCAAGTTCTAAGACCCCTGAGTTATTCTTTGTGGATTGTGCGAAAAAATTCGAGGGGTATCGAGGTAGCTTCTCGAAATGCCCTGAGAAACGAGGAGGCGTGGTAAGAAGAGAAGAGATCGTTGATTGTTTCTGGATATCTGGCTCGTTAAGCTGCTTACTGGGAACGTCGGAGCTGAGCCTTCTCTGCGCTGAAGAAGCGTTAAGGGGTTGCCAATTTGGTAGAGGGTGATGTTCTTAGCCTTGATACCATCGCTGATGAGCTTCTTGGAGGTTTACTGTCAGCCCGGTAGTTGTTGGGACTGAAGGGAAATGGCTTGGAGATGGGCTGTACTCCGTAGAATTTGAGCGTGAATCTCATCAATACCATCGAAGGAGAAGCGGTCATCACTGTGTATTGGTCTGTGATGTAGTTTGCGGATAGCGAATTTGTAGTTGAAGCCATGTAAGTTCGTTCGGCGAGCTTGGTTGAGGAGGTGGTCGAATGTGTGTGGCTCTAAACAGGTCTTGGGTTCAAATCTAATGTATCACGGTATAGAGACCCGAGTGTAGAATCATAATGGTCTTAAGAATTCAACAACGGATGGGATATTCAAGAGCATTTGGTAAAATAATTGTGGCGGCCCTTGAAATAGTAGTATGTGCCTCAACGGATGACTTTTGGCCTGGTGACATGCCGGCACGCCATCACGGTGACGAAGAGGATGTAAATCAAAGCGCTGGGCGATTGGAAAAGTCCATGGTTTCTTGAAAAGGCCATATGAAAGCTAAAGTAAATAGCGTGGTATGTAGTTCAAGCTGTTGGCTCTTTGTCCGGCAACTTCAAAGAAGCCACGTTAGCATAGTCTGCTTCAAAGCCAATTAGCAAGTCTCTTACCAAGAAGGTATTGGTCAATACCTGGTTGGCAGAGCGGAAGATAAGGCAGCAAACAAAACATTTATGAATGGCCTGACAAAAGTGTCAAGGTTTGAGGTCAAAAGGGATAACACCTGCCAAGAAAATTTACATTTTTAGAAATGAACTTTGAGATTAAGGATTTCAAGCTTCATTTGTCTGATTTTGAAAAAATTTATGAAAAATAAATTGCTGTGTAGGTGTGAGACTTCAAGAGTGATGTGATATCGATTTTTCCATCAAACAAATTATTGTAGTATTTGTATTTTCTCATAAGGTGAGATTTAAAAAGGTTTACGGTTCGGTGTTTATGCATTAAAATAATGATGTATAAGAGTGAGATAATAAGTTGCATGTGATTATAGGTCGAGTGATGTATGCTAATGAGTTGCTATTTTTGGAATGTTTTGAGTTAGTTCTGTGTATAGGTGTGTGTGAATCGTCCAAATTAGTTGATAAGTGGGTGTAGAGATGGTGTCTTTGCGAAGAGGAGTAAATGCCGATGTTATTGTGATGAGTGTATGTTATACAGTAGAACAGCTCGGAGTAATGAGTAGAAAAGATGAGAGAGATCATTAATGATATTTGTAAGTGATGAGGATGGGGTTAAAAACCTTTGATTTATTTACTAGTGTAAATGGTCGGCATTAATAATCGAAAGTCTTTGCCAATGAAGTCATAGCGCATAGAATGTAATAGTGATGTTATCGAAAAGGGATAGTGCCTAGCAGATACATAGATGTCCTAATGTAGAGTTATGAAATGGCGTAAGGTCATATTGCACGTGTATGCGTAATGATTCTAAGTGATATAGAGTATTTAGCGAATGGTATCAAAAGTAGGTGAGTGAGGGGTTCAACCTGTCGGCTGAGGTATAGTATAATTATCATGACCATTTATGGCATCTGCTATCAATCGTATTCAAGATGAAAAAGTTGTAATAGTTCAGGTGATTAGGAGCAGAGATCACCTTGTCGACAGAGGTTCAAGGTTGCAAATGCTGGCAAGCCATGTAAAACATAATGTGCTAGATGCTGATTATTATAGCTGAGCACATTAAGTCAATGAAGAACTCTCTATTTTGTGGGTGATGTATTATAGTATAATTCGAGTTGCGACTGAGACAATCTACCATAGGTGAGGTATGAACATTGTTTTATGTGTCTTGATTGCGTATACTATTTTTTGGTAGCCAGAAGATCATTGAAAGGGAGTAATAATTTCGCATATACCATGATGTATTGCAAGACTTTTGCGGTGCGATAAGCTCATGAGTTGTCAAGCCCAGCTCGATGTGAGTTCGTATATGTGGGTGGAAGTTTGAATGGTAGTGGTTGTTGAAGTTAGGGTTTACCGAGGATATGAACTGGTTGAGATAGATTCTGGATGGGTCTAAGGGGAGGCTGTGTTATCGGGTATGGAGGGAGTCTAGTGAATGTGATCGTTGTCTGATGTCGAAGTTGAGGTGGTAGTTAGGGCATTGTACAGTCCGTTAATTTGTATGTTCTGTAGGTGGATAGGGTTGTGTCTTTGTTATTTGAATGATTCATTAAAAGTAGTTAGTAATTTTGTGACTGATGAATTTCAATAAATAAGCTTCCATATAACATTCAGATATTGCTCTCTTCACTTGATGTTAACTCTTTCAAAAGAGAACAATCAAGGAATTATATTGGAGGAGATAGGATACCACGCATGGTAGTTGTATTAGTCTATACTATGGAGCTGTGGTGACTGTATGGTGGTTGATGCATATTGGCTCTTCCTAAGCTTTGAGTGGTGATGAGTGGATGTGGGAGAGAAAGGTGAGATAATTTCGGAAAGTTGAAAACGGGGTTGCCTGAAGTGCGTAAATGAAGTATTGGCGGGTGGGATGGAATAGAGGATGAGCTTAGTGATCAATATAGTTTCTATCCGGAACGGATGACCGACAGAGAGTACAGTAATGGTGTAAGTGGATGATGTTAATAACTTTAGATGAGTCTATGCGTAGAAGTAGATGCATATGGTTGAAATGTCAACAAAAATTATCAAATAGTTTGAAAAATGATTAGAAAGGAGTGTAAGCAAGAGGTGAGAAAATACTAATATATTGGATTAATGTATTAATAGTGTATGTCTAGATCATATGAGGTTAGTCCTAGTTGACGAAGAAATTCTTCACATTTTAGAGAGGCTATCGAGAATTCTGATTTCTAAAATTAAATAAGTTGAAGTTTAGTAATATTTGCACACCACATATTATTGTTTATGATAATTTTTTGTGTTCTGATGTTGATAAATTAAACAATTAGGTCTTAACGTTTGGAAATCTGCAATACACGAATAAAATCAAGAAGTAGGATGAGTATGAGAAGTATCAGGATCACTTTCATAGTATGAACGAGATCAGATAAAGCTGTGTCTTACGAGGAAATCTAATCAAATATAAATACAAATGTGGGAGTGCAAAAATCTTTAGACGAAGAGTCTAAGAATAGCGAAGATGTAAATAAATTACCATTGAAAATAGATAATGG